ATAATAATGTTTTCTAATTTGAGTGGTACGGGTAGGTTTTCGCATTCGAGCATGCTGCTGCGTCATTAGGTCACTTCTGTAAACATAAAGAAGTTGTCCCGGCTACTAGGCTTATCGCATGTGAGGATCCTGCAGGTGGCCGATCGTTTATAGCCTTTTCTCACAGCAGCTGGAATAATTAAATGTATTATTTTGATGGCGAATTGTAATCCATAAAGGATTATGTGTTTATGAAACACATGTGAATGAAATTAAATTATATTTCAGTTATAAATGTGCTTCTGATTACAGATAGCCTGGGATTACAAAGATTTGCATTTTAAAGAAATCCAGTTCGAAGGCAGCATAATTTGCTTTTTGGGTTAAAAGAATTTCTTAATATGAAATTCGAAGAGTATGACAATTAGATTAGACTGTGCAGAAATTGAAATCTACACGCTAATACACATAGTCACCAATGCTGATGTTGTTAAGATTAATCATTTGAGAATAAAGTATAACAATAATAATAATTTGAATGGTTTGTTGTGATATGAGCTAACCGATCTTTAGATTTAATCACCATTTTGTAGCGATATTTATGCAGAGTTGTAAAGTATTGGATTAAATGTAATTAGTTACTGTACTTGAGTATCTTTTTGGGTACTTTGTAGTTGTACTGAATATCAAAGATATTAGCAACTTTTACTCTTTACTTCACTACATTTTTGAATGAGTATCTGTACTCTTTACTCCACTACATTTGAAATCAGTGTTGCAGTTACACATTACATTTTGCATGGACCTAGCTTTTTCTGCGGCAGTTTATTTCTGCTACAAAAGACGTGATACTGCCTATTACAGGTCACTGAAAGTACTGCATTTTGCCCTTACTCACCCAAACTTGTCAACAAGGCTATATCGGACGAGAACAAAGCTCAACTGAATTCAGCTGAATGCAGAAACTACCGTCTTCTGTGGAGCTGCTTTATAGATGAATTTATTTGTTTTATAATGGACACATTCTGCAACAACGACACTGTTATTGAGCTGAACTCAATCAACATGAACTGACTTGAGCAGAATAACAACACTACTGCCTTCTGTAGAACTGATTATGGCTGAATTGAACTTGTTTTATAATTGATTAATTTTAGACAGTTATTCAACTGAATTGAAACAACACTGAACTATATATAGCCCTAGTCTACAAATAAAAAAAACTTTTATTCAAAGTATACAAATGATTACTACAAAATAATCATCTTGCACCATTTGCCTAATTACTCAAAACAATAACCTTTTAATTAAATTAATCAAATTCATAAGCATGTTCATGTGCCACTGAGACCTCACCATCTCCATGTATTTCTGTCTCTCCTCTTCCTTTTGCTTTAAGTAAGCATCCTGCTGGATTTCATCATCCCTCTCTACAAAGCAAGCAAACAAAAAGGCCAAATCAGATTAAGAAAAATACATTACGCTCACAAACACCTATTCTATACTTACTTGACCATGACGCTTGCTTTGCAGTAGCATTTGTGGCTAAAAATAAAACAACAAAGGATTACTCATCTTTATCTGATTTTATTTCCATTTTTTCATGTGCCACCAAAAAATCTGAACCATATTTAAAGACTTAAACAGGGGTTCTCAACTCTGGCCCTCGAAGTCTGCATTCCTGTTGAATTTTGTTTTATGATTTTTATTTCATGTTTTTTTTTTACAGCTCATTTATACAAGTTTGCAATGTACAGTGCTTAACTAATTTTTAGACCACCACAAGGTTTGTGCCACATGCTCTAAACTAACAGTATTGGTGATTACCAAAATAATTATTTATGTTTCTGTTATTTAATCCACACCAGTATGTGTAAACTCTTTAGTCACAGTAGTGTTTCTAATGCTAAAATAATATAATTATTGTTGCAATGCATGCCTTTTTGAATGTACATACTGTTTTACAAGAAAGGCAGAAAATAGTACAGCACTTTATTATTACTATTATTTTTTATTCAGATGCCCAATTACAGTCAATAACAACAGAGACTGTGGAAAAGCATAAAAATAACGCCAGCAAAAATACAAGCTGTTATCAAGGCCAAAGTTATTATGGTTATTATGCGTGAATAAAGAGTTGTTTCAGTTTGTTATTCACTTAATAAATGACAATAAAATCTTTAGTTTTAAACAAGTTTTTGACAGTCTCCTAAAATATCTGTGCTTATTAGCCTACTGGTGTGGATTAACCATTACAGAAACATAAAAATGATTTTGGCTACTGTTAGTTTAGTGCAGCTGTGGCACAAACTTTACATTGGGTGGTGGTGGTCTAATAAATGTGCTAAGCACTGTATAATACAAGTTTATGCAATACGCGCACGTACTGAACTTACTTACAGTTCGGGGTCTTCGCAACGTTCAACCGCTGCCTGATGTCTGCAGAAACCAGCCGAGACTCTATTGGTGGCTGCAGGGAAAGCGAGCTCCAGAAAACCTTTGCATATGCCACATCTTCTTGAGACGCTCCATCAAATACTGTATAAAGTTTGTCGATTTCTGCAACACTGTCCAAAACCTCTTTGTCTAGTTCTTCAGTCATAATAGTTAGCGAGCTTGCTGTTCTAGCAATAGGTAACCAGGCATGTGTTACGGTTGCTAAGGTAACTAAACGCTCCATATCTACGGAAGTGTGTGAGGAATTACATAATAAAGAGATACTTCCATACTTCTGTTCTGACGGGAATTTAAAAAACTGTTAATTAAATTACTGTTAGTTTCTGTACTATATTAGACGAGACAATTTAACGGACAATATTTTAAATTACTTAATGTAGTAGAATATGTTTTGTTGAGTAAAACGTATGAATGACCGAATGATTTACATTGAAAATCTGTATAATATCGTAAAACAATACATACTTACACAGTAATATTGTTACCCTACATGTTTTTGTAAGTAGAATGACCTTATTTTAAGATTAGTATTATATTTATATTGTCTTTGCGTAACAATGTGCACTTGCCTAAATGAAAAACCCATTTATTTTATTTATTTATTTATTCTTTACAATGACAAGGTTGTTAACATTATATCAAAACGAATAGGCCTACAGCTATGAACCGTAAATACATAAAATGCCTTCACGGAGAAAAAAAAAACATCAACCATTAAACAGTCTTTCAAATGACATCTTTTTAAAGACTTTGAAGTAGTCAACAGCATATTTAAAATATACATATACAGAAAATAAAAAAAATAATGATCGCTAAATCTAATCAGACAAATTAGAACAAAGTGGGATATGTTTCAATTTATTGGATGATGTAGGTATGCATTACAAAAAGTACAAATAAAAACAGCAATTATTTTTTTTTTTAGCAAATCAAATGCTTTATTGGACTAATTCAAGGGCCTTTTTTCTTAGGTGTCTAAGGATGAACAAAGCTCAAATGAGAGACCCAGTTATTGCGCGCGCTTGTTGGCAGAGTGACATTGTTTATGAGAATCTTGGATTACCAAAGGAAATGACCATTTGGATTGATCCGGGAGAGGTGTCATGCCGGTAACGCTTGGTTTGCTGGCCTGTCACTTAAGTGTTCAATCTATACTGGTTTTGAAGACTGGACTGTGCCACTGTAGTACTTCCAAAAACTGAGAATTTTTTAATTTTCTTAAAGGTATGGTGAAACGTCAACCCCATTTTGTGTTACCCAGTTGGAGGGTCAAAAGAGAGATGGTGAGTTCTCTCGTAGGATAAATAATGCAGTGGAAAGAGCTTCATCGGACTACCACTCTGGAACCTCCTCAGATGAGGAGGGAGGAAACGCCAGCATGAGCAGCAGCGTGAGTGGCAGCAGTCTTTTCGTTCCAGAGCCTAAATGCATCCCAACGGTTTCCAACCCAAACAGTGTCTACCAGGTAACAAATTCCAGATAACCACTCTTCAGTCCCTTTTGCATGCTTCTAACACTTGGTTGCTTAAATTTGCACCGTTTTAACCGCTCCTGTTCTCCATCTATAGTTCAGTGAGTTCGGGCAGCCCCCACCTATGCAGAACTGGGGCACATACCCTAAAAGAAAGCCATATGCCTCTGAGGGCTACCAGCAGCATTCCTTAGGTGGACCATACCCACCTCATAAGAGTTTCAAGGGTTACAGGCCTTCCTATGCCTTCTGTGGTCCAAGGGTGGACCGATATCACTGGGTCAGCAAGAACCGCTCCTAGATTTTATTTTTAAAACCAGTGTATTGTTTTGCTGAGCAGCTATGCAGGCATATGTGAGTGTTCTAGAATATAACTTAATTTCTATGTAGAGCTTTAACAAATTATTTATGGAGTCATGTGGCAATGCCATGAAGGCACTTTTTAAAGTTTATTTTAATGATTTATTTGTGGAGTGTAGAAGACTTTCTAAATAAAATCTATTTTATTAACTTGCTTGTGGAAGTGCTTAGTCTATGCTTATGCCACTAGATGGTGGCAAATATCTACAATATAATCTTCTCACTTGTTTAACTTCCCTCTATAAGTTCATGACCGCTGATGAATTCTGAATGAGATGGTTTGGTTGTACACTAATGCTTATTTCTATTTAAGTGTACATGGTTTATACTTATTTATTTTATTTTTTTTAAATCCTCGTTGTGATTTGAGTATGCATTGTACTGTATATGGTAAGCCAGAATGATGTGAGATTTTCTCTTTCCCCCTGGGTGTATGTTTCTGAGAATTGACTCATGAAAAGGAAAATGGGGTGTGGTCTGAGTTTGTCACTAAAAGTTGAGACCGTTCTTTTACGAGAACCCTTTGATTCAATTCACAATTGCTGCATTTACCAAATGTTTTTATTTTTATACTTTTTTTTTTTTTTTTGCCTTGTTGGTTACCTCCTGTAGTAACTAGTACCTTCATTGCCATTCAGTTTGATTTCACAAGTACGTTTGAGTTGGTTGTGAGGTCTATAATTTCTGGAAAAAAGTGCACTTATCAGCGTTACCATTCATTTTAAAGGCAGTTAGTTGCCACAGAATGTCATCTTCCTTATTTGTGCTGTTCTGTACACTATTTTGTCTGCTGAGCCATAAATGCCATTTTACCAAACACTCGGAATCCACAGGAAAATGACACCAATTATCTTTTTTTTTTTTTTTTTTTTTTTTTTTTAAACTGAGCTGAAGCAACGTGTGATGCCACTAGGGTTGGGTATCGTTTAAATGTTATCGATTCCGATTCTTATAGATTCCTAGTTTTGATTCCAATAAGATATAAAATTAATTCAAACACTTAGACGTAAAAAATTTGTCTTTTACAAAGCATTCTGTCGCAGCTGAATAACACGAGCAAAAGTAAGCAGCCTACAGCACACTGCAAGAGGAATTTTGCCTATGTTTTAAAACCAAATGCCATAGCAAAAACAACTACATTAATATAAAGTGTTAAAGACAAGTAAACGGTCAGTAATAAGATAGAAACTAATCAATTAGCAATATCATAAATACAACTGAACAATTTCTGATAAAGAAACTGTAATTAAAAGTTTAAAAACACTGCATAGCTTTCTTTTCATAAAATATAGATTAATCAATTAAATGTATTAAATATATTCAGTCAAGATCAGTGAATTATTTTCTTTTGTTCTTTGATTAACATTAATGACAGGCAGCGCGTTTATTAGGCTGCTGTCTCTTTAACACCGAACGCATGCAGATCTAAAAATACTGTACGTGTGTTTTCTTTCTCATCTGCTAACATTCAAGTAAGACAAAAACGGCTGTGTTTCTGATGATATACACGCGTGCATTTCGATTCTGCTTAACGATTCCTGTGTTCACATTTGAATGTGATTAAAAACGATTTAAGTGCAGGAACGGAAAGAACTTGCGCCCTGTTTGCGTGCAGCCCACATGAAGTGCAAGCGCGAGCACAGAGAACAGAGGTTGCGGTACGGGTTCCCGGTTTGAGAGATCAGAGGTTGTGTTACGGGTTCCCGGTTTGTGTCCGTTCCTGAACCGTTCCGTGTATTTCCACTGTAGAAAAGGTTGTTCCGGGCCGAAACTTTTCATATTGAATACCCGGTTCTTGGAAATTTGGAACCGGTTTTCGATACCCAACCCTAGATGCTACCACTTTAACAAATTTGTTTACGCGGAGATGATAATGGACTTGTGCATTTTCAGGCCTCTAAAATGGCATTGTGTAAATTAATGACCAAAACAAGATTTTAGTTGAAAACGGTGACATGTAAACAGCCCCTGAGTTTCCAACATGCCCCTCATAAGGGTGAGGGCCAGATTTACTAACAGCTTGTGCCAGTGCAAACTCTCTACTGTCAGGATTCACTAAAGACATGCAGTTAAAAATTAGCGATGAAATGGTGTGGACAGTTATTTTTGTGGCTTACCTTATTCCGTACATATTTGTTGGAGTAGGATGCAAAATTTATGGTAGGGGAGTATTTAAATGAATCATTTAATTTACTAAGCGTTTAGAGGATGTGTGCATCCGTGTCGTCATTATTTGACACCCGATGACACACACGATCTATGCGTTGTTTGTTTGGGCGAAGAGCATGCACGCGATGTCCTTGAGGGGGCAATCTGCGTGCACTGCAAGCTTTTTCCTCTTGTTTGTCTCTCTTTTCGAGGAAAGAGGGGCAGCCATCGGCTCCCCACAGTTCAGGACCCGCCGCTGCTGAGGCACGGAGGAGAATGAGCTCGTGGGGATCGCAGGTGGATCTGGCGGATGAGTTTAAAGTGGGGCTTTCCCTCTCGCCCTCGTCGGCTGTGGACGAGAGTGAGCCGCTGGAGGATGATGTTATTTCATTAACATCGTCTGATCCAGGGGCCAGTGCTCTGCTGGGTTCAGCCCAGGAAGAGCAGGAAATGTCTGAGGAGGGCGAAGAAGCTGAGGCTGTGCCTTCCCAATCCTCCTGCCCTGCGTATGATGAGCTTTTGGAAGTTATGGATCGTGCCACGGCAAGGCACGAAAGCGGGAAAAGAAAGTGACGTCGCGAGGTCATCTCGATGAGCGTTATCTTTCTGGCCATAACCCTCCAGGTCAGGTGAGCCTTCCTTTTCTTCCTGATCTCCATACAGAGATCGAGAAGGAATGGAAGAGGCCGTTTTTCTCACGCATCCATCGATTCCAGCATTCGAGTTATGCCAACATCGAGGCGATGCGCAAAAACGGCTATGAGAAGATGCCCCCTGTAGAAGAGGTGCTGGCCAGCTATCTCTCTATGGGTGAGACGTCATCTCTTAAAACTCCTTCCTTGCCATCTAAGTCCCTTCAGGATACATCTTGCTTGAATGGCAGGGCATACGCAGCAGCAGGTCGGGCTGTCACTTCGTTGCACACGATGGCGGTGCTCCAGGCATATCAGGCTGA